GAAAATACAGCATTTCAATATTCATTCATTCATGTTTTGTTCTCATGGTCTTGACATTATGTATTAGTTGGTCAGGATAAAATGCCCTAATCATTTATAAGGTATCAATAAAATTGATTTTAAATTAGAACATTATCTTAATGTCCTCCTGGGGTTTCTTGATTGTTATTTCCTCTTCCTGGAATAAAGCTGTTGGCTCCACCCCAGAAATTTCATTAAACAGTTACTTCAGCTGGCAAGCTCAGCTGCTGGAACATGATGCTTTGACACCAAAGACACAGGCTTGATTTTCTTGTGTAGGCAGCTTAGCTTCCTTCTCCTGAGAGTCACAGTTCGCATGTGGCTTAAGCTGTTGGCCACATGAGAAAGCAACGGGGGAATGAGAGGCAACAAGTTCACCTCCTCCATCACTGATGGAGAGGAACCCAAAGCAAAAGCTGAATAGGACAAGTAATCTCACTCCTGATTATTACAGATGGTATGGTATAAAACTGGTAACAGAAACTGTAATAACAGATGCCAAGTGAACACAACTTTGTGTTGCATATATCTTTTTAAACTATCCAATAAACCCAAAGCTATTTCACACCCTTCAAACCAATGGACCTTTCTCAAAGTTTGCAAAGCCTACTGTTCCTAATATGCTTTTGTTGTCCTCCAAGAATTCCCTGACCTATTGAGAAATTTTAAAATATTGTCTGCTGACTCTATGTAAATTACAGTCACATGCATTGTTCATGTCCTTCTGGGATTATTTTTTTCAGTCTAGCACCTATGAAATACATTTACCTACTGCTTTATAATCAATATTACTAAGTCTTACTGATAAATATGACGGGGTATGATTTTAGTTACCCTAAAAGCAAAAGTGGAGGAGGACTGGCAAAAATTTCTCAATTTTTTGGGAAAGGTGGCTCTAGACCTAAATCCTGCACTTGCTCTGTTTGAGTCAAAATATCAACACAATTCTAATAGCTATTAAAAAAAAAAAAGAAAAAACCGTAAGTAGGATAGTGGCTCAGAGAAAATAAGTGAGTAAGCTTTAAGACTTGGCAAGCTGTATCTTAATGGACCAGAATCTTCATTTTAGTAACTATTAGAATTTATTGTAAAAGTCTTTTCATGTTGCTATTTTTTCCAGTAAACTGTTTTAACCTATTTGAAAGGCTAAACATTTTTTCTTCCACAGAGTGTTAACTCCACAGAGCTTCATATATATTCTTATGTATTACATATGCAAATATACTCTATACAGTGTCTGAGAGTAATTCAGTTAAGAACACAGAAGGAAATAAGAATGTATCAATTTAAAGGGAGGCTGTCTTCCTGTTTTAAGGTTGCTAATCAGACACTCCAGGTTTTTATACTACCACAAAATGGTAGGTTTTAAGGTCTTCTGATAAAATATTAAAGTGAGTTTTGCTTTAAAATAGCACTAACAAATATAATGTGGCATTTTTCTGTTGCATAAGAAAAATTATTTTAATCATGCAGTTATTTAACCCAAGCTATCAAAAAAAGTACCACGTAGATACATAAGCATTTTCAAAATTATTGAAACATGTTACACATTCTTTCTCTGTTGCCTCAATACCAATCAAGGATGCAACCTCTCCTACAAGGTTAGTGCCAGGCTTGGCCTCTGGCTAGGTATACAGTGAGTATCTGTTGTTGAATAAGTGTATCAAGACCACCATTTTTTTTCCTTTTTACTCTAAAAGGGATACACCTTTTTTACTTTTTTTTTTTAATTGTGCTGGGTGGAGATACATTGTAGCATTTACAAAGGTTCCTACAATGTATCAAATACATCATACTTGAATTCATTCCATCCACTGCTCTCCTTCATCCCTTCTCCTGATTCCTGGAACAGTTTCAACAGATTATCATTTTTGCATTTACATACATGTGTACACATTATTTGTACTGTATTTATCCTTCTATCCCTTTTCTGCCACCTCCTGCTTCCCAATGGTGCCAACACATCCTCCCTTCATCCCTCGCAGAACCTGTTACGCCCTCCTGTTCTCCAATTTTGTAGGAAAAAAAGATAAAAAGAGAAACACGGTGTTTTTGCTGGTTTGAGATAGAGACAGCTATATGGGGAGTTTCCTATATATATATTACAACCCCAACTGGTTCATCTCTACCAGTCCTCTTCACTCCGCCCTAGTCCCCTTCCCATGGTGGACCCTGCCAGTTTAATATTTCTATATTTATTCCTGTTCCGTGAGCACATCAGCCACATTCAAGTTTTTGGTTTCTTTCCCTTGTCCTAACCCTCCCAGGTATGGCCTCCCCTTAGTGTGACCCATGTCCCGTAATATTGCTGCATTTGTTTTAGGTCTATAATCTGCATACGAGGAAGAACATGCAGCTTTTGGCCTTCTGAGCCTAACTTAAGATGATGTTCTCCGGTTCCATTCATTTACCTGCAAATGACAAAATTTCATTCTTCTTTGTGGCTGAGTAAAATTCCATTGTGTACAGATACCACATTTTCTTAATCCATTTGTCAGTAGTGGGGCATTTTGGCTGTTTTCAAAGCTTAGCTATTGTGAATAGTGCTGCAATAAATATGAATGTGCAGGTGCCTTTGTAGTAACCTGACTCACATTCCCTTTGGGTATATCCTTAGGAGTGGTATTACTGGATTGTATGGCAGATCTATATTTAGTTTTGTAAGAAGCCTCCAAACTGTTTCCCACAGTGGTTGTACTAGCTTATATTCCCAGTAGCAGTGTATGAGGGTTCCTTTTTCCCCTTCAACCTCTCCAACATTTGTTGGTGGTGTTCTTGATGGTAGCTACTCTAACAGGAGTGAGGTGAAATCTTAGTGCTGTTTTGATTTGCATTTCTTTTATGGCTAGGGATGGTGAGCATTTTTTCATGTGCTTTTTAGCCATTTGGAATTCTTCCTTTGAAAAAGTTCTGTTTAGTTCAGTTGCCCATTTCTCTATTGATTTTTTGTGAGCTTAGTTTTTCTTTTAGCTCTCTGAATATTCTAGTTATCAGTCCCTTGTCTGATGTATAGCTAGCAAAGACTTTCTCCCATTTTGTGGGTGACCTCTTCAATCCAGAGACCATCTCTTTTGTTATGCAGAAACCTTTAAATTTCATGTAGTCCCATTTGTCCATCCTTTCTCTTAGTTGCTGAGCTGCATGAGTTCTACTGAGGAAGTCCTTCCCTATGCCTATTGCTTCCAGTGTGTTCCCTGCTCTTTCCTATACTAGCTCCAAGGTTTCAGGTCAGATATTAAGGTCCTTAAAGGGATAAACCTTTGAATTTTCCATTGGTTAACCTCCTTGTTGCTCATCAGCTGTCTGTGACTAGGAAGAAACAAAGCTTACTGAAGGCTGACACTAAAAAGATGGGATTGAAAGACCTACCAGAGGAAGAATGCACTGGTAGTTTTCCTGGGCTACTTATTTAAGAGAACAGGGATCACTGGGAATTTCCCCAAAATGCTCATTCCCCCAAAGAGGTTACGTAGTAAAAAGAAAAAATTCTCAGTACTCAAACTTTTTTCTCTGGACAGTAAGTTGCCATACAAATGATGAAATAAAAAGCCACATAAACCAGAAAGATGGAATACCTGTTTTTAAAAAAAAAAAAGGTAAGCAAAAACAGGTTTACACTGGTTGAATTTTTAAATCTTAAGAATACCTAGAGTTTTATGTAAGATTTTAGTATGTAAAGCAACATAAAGCATTAACATCAGTTGTGATTGATAGTGAATTCAGTATACTAAGGAATCAAAACAAATGAGATACCGATACTTAGGGCTACAATTTCATATTGCTCTAAATAAAGTACTTCAAGCAGTAGCTTTCCTAGAATAACTACATTTAAATATCTAAAGCTATGAGGGTCTGACAAAATATGTGAAAAACTGGGAGAACAGTCTAGTTCACCAAGCATGTATCAAGATTACTTTGGTTCAACCAGAAAGAGTACTCTACTAACCATGCTGAAATCAGGGAGGTCACCTTGTAGTTTACTATCTTACCCCCTTCTCCAAACAGTTACACATCAGAAAGATAAAACATAAGGAGTAAAAATACCTCAGAGCCCCATTCTACATGTCATCCCAGACAAGTGTGAATACTGGTCTATCCCCCTGTCTCTTGAGCTTTCACTCCCCCTTTTCCTCTTTCCATATTTCAAACTCCTCACAATGTCCCAGCCCTACTAGCAATACTTCTGTCAATACTTAGTTTTGCTGGTGGCACTATGGGCTAAAGAGGTTTCTGACCTTTATTCTAACATGTCCTTTTTAGGTAAATTATTTTTGTATACTTGAAGTACCCAGTGATACTTAATCACTATAGCACTACTTGGTAGACAGAACTCAATGGAGCCAACTACAATTTGGCATTGAGCTGAATGGTGTGGTAATAGCAGCATGCTGAAAATGATCTGGAAGAAAATATTCTCACTCACCACATGAAAAATGAGGCGAATACTATTCAATCAATCACTGTTTTATTAAAAAGAAAGAACACTAGTTCAGAGCTATGCTTTCTCTATAAAATGCTAAATATGGCTCAATGGACATCCTTCATTTTGTGATATAAGGAAAATGCAGTAAATGTTTGTGAAACAAATGAAGACAACAATAATTCAAAAACAGTCCAACTTTTGTACTCTGGACTGTCTCTTTTCACATATATGTACACATGCTTATGCATGTCTCACAGGACAGCCCTCTACTAATATAGCTAACAGTCTACTATCTTACAGGTCTTATGTTTTTTAAACACCCATGAACAGTAATCTAGATGCAGAAGATCCTATAATCTTACGTGTTCAAGAAAGCATTCTAGAGCATGGAATTAATTAAATGTATTGTCACAGATGTTTGAGCCATTGACAAAGTTTGTTAAAACAGATACTCACTGGTTTCCCTCCACTGTGGTCAGAGAGCTCAACAGCAGCCTGATTGGGGTAAGCCAGACCACTCAAACAGGGTGACTCAGTATAGAGCTTCAGTACTTACTAGTAGATAGGAAAATGAGGTTTGATCCTCTGTGAAGAGTTAACAATGACTCTGTAAGCAGATTTGTGGTGTGATGGCAGTCATATCCTACAAATTGAAGTGAATAGTTACTCTATGTTGGCAGTGTGATAGACATGGGGACTTAACAGGAAATAAGGCACCAGTTTTATACTGCGTGGACTCTAGAAGGAAGGAAGAAGGAATGGAATGAGCATATACTTTAGAGTGAGAGAGTTCTGGTTTCAATTCTTAGCTCTAGGATGTATCAGCTATGTGACTCTGGGCAAATTAACCTGTTCAGGCCTCAACTGTCATGTGGAAATAAGGATATTTGCCCTACAGGATCACTCCTGTTACAGTCTGAATGATTGTATGTCACCACAATTACTATGTTAAACCCTAAACCCCAATGCTAGTATTTAGATGTGGAGCCTGTGGGATATATTCAGGTCAAAAGTAGGACCTTCATGAATGAAATTAGTGTGCTTATAAAAGAGACCCTAAAAAGCTCATGCACCTTTTCCACTAACAGGAGGAACACAACTAAAAGGTGCGATCTATGATACAGGAAATGGGCCCTCATTAGACACATAAGGGATGCACCTTGATCATGAACTTCCCAGCCTCTCAAACTATGAGAAATAAATTTCTGCTGCTTAACCTATCCAGTTTACGGTATTTTGTTATAGGAACCCAAAAGGACTAAGGCAGTCAATGACAATTAATTGAAATAACTATATTCCTTTCATACTTGTTTATAGAACTTTCCCTAAAAGGTAATGGCCAAGCCTTGGCCAGCAACCCTATCTGCACAGTTGGAAGCCCAGAGAACTGCTGTGATTGTGTGCGCTCAGCCTTCATTGGAAAGAGAGTACTACCTACTTCCTCAAACCTTAAGACCGCTCCCTGGCTGCTTACAAACCATAAGACTTGCAAGACGAAAGAAGATTGGCTGCTATTAGCTGAGGGCTCTCCTGCGATGAGACAAGCGTACACATGTGTGCTATACATGGAGAGAGAAAGCTCCTACTTCATATGGAATAATTTTAGAGAGTGTGTTGTTAAGTATGGACCTCTATCTGCCCTCTTGGCTTGGTTCCCTAAAGAAATTCCCTCTCCAATTTTTAAGATCCATGTCAAATGTGCTTTCTAGGATAACCTTGAGTTAAGTGCAGACTAGACCTGCATCCCAAACTCTACTGGAATTTGACAAATGACTCTGAAATGAGGAATCAAGTCTAATGGCAGGGGCTAGGGAGGCTTCAACATGTAATTAATTCCTTGTTAACTAACATAGCACATGGGTTACTATATTGAGTTCCCTACTATGTGCCAGGCACTCTGCTAGGCCCTAAGGCAGTAAGAATACAACAAAAAGGGAAGATGAAGAACCTGGTCTTACAGAGTACTAGTTCTAGTTAGGTGACAAAAAAAAAAGTTATTGATAAAATTAATAAAAAATAAGCGCAAATACAGTATGCTATAAAACAGAGGCTAAAACGGAGACTAACTAGTGGCAGGGTGGTCAGGGAAGGCCTCTCCCAAAAGATGACATTCTGGCTAACACCTAAGCAAAGGTTAGAGCCAACCACAACAGGACAGGTCTGATCTAGATAGAACAGCACATGTACCTGCAAGGAAAAGGGAGAAGGATGACAGGAGGTGCATGGGAGGGCTGGGCACTGGGCATGAAGGGACCAGGGTAGAAGAGCATCAGAGGGACAACAACACAGAGAGGAGTGGGACCCAGGAGGTCCAAATTATTTAGGCCTATCAGGCCATAATAAGGTCTGTGTTTTACTGTAAGTGTCACTGAAGGGCAACTGTTTTAAAAACTAGTCAGAGATTTTTAAAATGTCCTACATGGTTAGAGGAAGGTTAGAATTAGCATAAGAATTTTAAATCCTCTAAGAACAGAAAAGATTGTACCTGTTTACTTTCAACTTTTGTAATTAAAGTAAATAACAAAAAGTTCATGCATAATATACAACTTTGTATGTATGTTGAATTAAAACAGAAATATTCTGAATCACATCATGAAAGATGAGCTTTTATCACTTTGGCATCTTGGAGGGGAAACAGGGGATCAGTCAGGAGCCCCTGCAATTCAGAGGAAGATAATGGTGGCTTAGACTGGAAGAGTGATGGAGAAAGGTAGTAGAGGGTGAATCTGAGAAAAATGCTACAGGTATAACTGAGTGACTCACTCCTAACAGAGGTGGGTATGTGTGTAAAAAGTTGGAATCAAGTTTGTCAGCAATAATGTCACCTCCATGCACCTGCAATCTGATACAGACTCTTAATTTAAAAGGGGCAGGAATCTTAGGTATCCCATGAGAATATTCTAAACCTTAATGGACTCATAGGACTGCATAATGCACATGAATAGCATCCTCTATCTTATCACAAAAGGAAAAAGTGGGAGGTTTGTAACTACATTTATTCAATCAAGCAGAACTAAATTTTCACAAGTAAACCAGGTATTTTAGATGCTAACGTATAAATGCTGATCTTTAATCACAAAAAAAAACCCTTAGAAAAAGGGAAAGAATGATATATTTATGTGACTTGAAAGAAAACTGAATTGTAAGAACACAATGAGATGTTAGTAAGAAATGGTGCTCACAGGATTATGAAAGAATAATTTATCCACCAAGACTTCCTAAGGGTGAGGCAAATCTGGAACCACTTGGAAAGAAGGGAGTAAGCAGTTCCAGGTCCCAACCCTGGAATGGGGCTACTTCATGCATGAAGCAGGTGGGCTGTCTTGGAGGAAACAGAATGAAAAGTAAAGTACAGAGCAGCAAAGATCCCCCAAAAAGTACTTTACCATCTGGAATGGAGTCATAGCTACGATGAGAGAAATCAGCAAGGAACAAACAATTCAAGATCTGGGTAGTGGTTCACAGCCATGATTTCACATCAGGATTATCTGTGAACTTTTAAAAGGGGTTGGGAGGAATAAAGCCCCAGAACAATTAAATCAGACTCTCTCCAGAGGACGTGAGCCTGAGCAAGGGCCTGGGTATTGGTCATTTTTAAAGCTCCCAGGTGATTCTAAAGTTGACAACCTCTGACCTTTGGCATATTCAGATGATCAACAAGCCACTGTGATTGCTGTCTATTAGAAACCCTAATCAACTAGACCTGCTTACTTATTAACAGCAAATTACCTTAGAGATCTTTCCAGGAGCACAATTAGCTCAGCGGTAGATCCCAGACTTTTTATCTCCCTGTAATTGATCATGTCATGATGAACAACTGGTAAGAAAAAAACATTTCAAAATCATAGTTTGGAGTTGGGAGAGAGAGACAAAACACTCAATCACAACCTTGTTCTGAGATGAGGCTAGACATTTTACACATTTGTTAATGTGTTGTTAAAATGCGGTGTTCCCATGCATGACTCTACAAATGCTGACAAAGTGATGTATTTTGAGTGTGATAATTAAAACAATCTCAATAAAGTGGGTATTATGAGATAATTGGGTATCCTTAGGATTTAAGCAAACTGTGGTAAAAGCCAACAACACTCATAGCCAAGGTCAATTACAATAATTGCTTATCTGAATTACATTATTGCTATTGTAAACCCTGCTCAATTAAAAAAAAAATTAATGGAACACATACCACAGGGAAATGACCTGAGAAAAAGAGTTCTTGCTCTTCTTCTTGCTAAACTATTGGTCATTTAAGAATTCTTATAATCAACTTTGCAGAACCCTCACACCCCATGCCTTTAAATACATAGTTCCTTAATTCATTAAGGAAATAAAGCTACTAGAAATTAGAGATGTGGCTTACAGTAGCAATATACAATAACACACAGAAAAATGAATGGCTCTAATAAAATCAGAGCATACAAGAGAAAAAGAAATACCCATGCTGTGGTTTGGATATGGTTTGAGTGTGTCTCCTAAAGGATCTTACACTAGAAGCTTGGTCCACAGTGTGTCAAAGGTGGTGGTACATTTAAGATATAAGACCTAGTGCAAGGTAATTAGGCCATGAAGGGGGCTGCCTCCCAAGGGATTACTGTAGGTCTTTTGTTAGTGAGTTGTTATAAAAAGAGCCAACTCTGGTCTCTGAAACCTTAAGGCTTCCTGTCTCACCATGTGATTTCTTTTACCTAAACTCCAGCCATTTTGATGCCATACACCATGAGGCCTCACCTGACGCCAGCAAATACATCCACTCTGGCTTGGACTTTCAGTCTCCAAAATGTAAGCCAAACAAATCTCTTTTCTATTTAAGATGCCCAGCCTCAGGTATTCTGTAGCAACAGACAACCCTGTCAACTGCCCTTATTTTCCATTAGTACATTAAAGGAGAAGTCATTACTGTCTTTTGCAAAAACTGAGTCTCTCAATTATACTGATATATAGCTTATGGGAAGATATTATGTCCTAAACATGCCACTGTCAGCTTATCTAGATTAACACTCAGGCTCAAGTATCAAATAACAAATAGAAAAGTCTGGAAAAGCTTTGAAGACAGGGGTAGGGGGAGGAAAGGGAAACAGAAATTCTGACCTTCTTTCAACTAATTGAAATGTGTTTGGCAATCGAAGAGTATAAAACTTCTTTTTAAGTTGTGATTAAACATCAAGACTTTGATGTTTTTATACGGTATTCTTCCCACTAATTAACTGCACTAATGAAGTTAATTAGTGGGGAAGAATGCAGTATAAAACATCAAAGTCTTGATGTTTATTGTCACCATCATTTCAACTAAACAGTAATAAAGAAATAATTTCTCAAAACACATTCATGCATGCTCAGCAATTCTGTTTACAAACTCAAACTGTAGGATAGAAACATTTTTCAAAATAATCCAAAGATACTATCCACACTGCAATCCATACTGACAGCAACAGCATACCATTTAATGTAGTGTAATTAAGTGGCCAAGAATACCACATAAAACAAAAGAATTGAGACATTTAATCAGTTATGTAAATGGCTACAAATCTACCATTATTGGGAGATGAAGGAACGGGTGAAAAGCAAGGCAAATAGCTACTCAACTTGAAAGGTAATTCCAATTATGTGTTAGGTATTACGTTTAGTTTCAGCCTGAAAAAACAAAAGCAAAAAAAATGGGCCAAGCTATAAAACAAGAACTATAAACAGCAAGCAGGTCTTTTCAAGCACTGTCAGATGGCCCCAAATGTACTACTCTGTCCTTTCCTTTGGTACACAGTGTGAGGAGATGATGGGAATACTGGAATGTGAAGACCACCAGGGTGAGTCTTGTCAACATGAAGTTCAAAGTTCCACTGATTGAGGCAAGAAAGTTCTCATGTTGAGCTGGAAGGGAATAGAGAAATCAAATCCAGTCCCTTGCAACTCAGGAAGGAGTGTGGTCCACCATCCAGCAGTTGTCAGTATCTTCTGAGAAATTGTTAGAAATGCAGACTTTCAGCTTTATCCCCTCAAACCCACTAAATCACAACCTGCTTTTACATGTTCACTAGAAGTAGGAGAAGCACTTGTCTTCTACATCACCCCCTTGTGTGATGTAGAAGAAAACCTGAATCCTGGGATGAAGTAAGTCATACAAGGTTACAAAGGAATGACACTAGAACACAACACTCTAATTTTAAGGGCTATTTTTTTTTTAAAGAAACATCATTTTGAGGGACAATCTAAACAACCACAGGAGCTAACATAAATATTTTAGTAACATTCAGAAACTGGTTCATTCAAAGTTTTGGTAATCAGCCATTAAGTGTGTGTACTTGACCACAAAGAATACACCTAGAAAAACATTCCCTCTCAGAATATGTGCAGACCCCATCCAGTAAGGGTGACAAATGTCACTCAAGTGTCTCAGCCTTGTAGCCAACTTTCTTACCACATCCACGTTTAGCCTCAGTGATAAGATAGAGGCACCGGCTTATTTGGAAAGGTTCCCCATAGTCCTTCTCATTTCTTTTGGAATCTTGCCTTGTGTCTCCTCCCTTTGGAAGTACTAAGTGAACTCAACTTGTAGCACTTCTCTAAAGAAACAAAATTTATACTGCAAAATTATGAACTTAACTCTACTAAACACTCTCTGACTCATTGACTGTCAACGATTGAGCACAGTAGCAGACAGGATGCAACAGGTCCTGAGGTGGGGTTGGGAGGGGAAATTCCCTATCCTTGAGATACAGGGCTATTGGGTTGACGATAAGACAAGAATACATTGACTTTTTCTTTAAAATTTTTTAATGATATACCCAAATGATGTGATTGATATATGTTTTTCTAATTATTGGGGAGTTCCTCATTTCTGAAATCAATGAAGTCTCAATCATAGAGTTACTTCTGATTTGACAGTACTTTTTAGGTAATAAATAAACTTAAGACAAAGTAGCTAAAAAGTACAGATATCATGCGCTCTTATATCCCAATATTCTTTAAACCAATTAAGTGTGATAACTGATATTCAGATATGACCTTTTGTTCAATTCAAATGAGCTATCTTTAGATATTCTGTGATGACTATTCTTGTGATTTAAGTACCTCACAATAAAATTCATCTTTCATTTTGCTTTGGTTTAGGAAAGGCTTGAATAATCCCCCTACAACAGTGGCCTGGTGAACACTCTTAAATTATGTAATTCACCAGGTTTAACTTTGCTGCTACAATCATGTTCAAAGAAGATGGTTATAATATATTATCATTACAGCTATACAATCCAAGTTGAATTTTCCTTGGCTGAATTCCTAACATTTTAATGCTGAAATTGATCTGTTTTAAAAACATCATGTGAAGGGCTTTTAAATACCAAACATGCCCAAGTTCTTTATTTTAAATGCTTCAGAAATGAGCTTGCATAAACAGGAAAAAAAAAAAACTGTTCTCTAATCTAGCATTAAGCATATTTTAAAGAACAACAGGCATGTTTCCAAACAAACTATGGCTGTATACAAATTACCCAGCAGGAACAGGGACAACAATGCTTCTCATGTGGGTTTAAATCTAGAGAAAGCTGACATTTCATCAAAGTTGTCTTGGAAACAATACTCTTTGTATTATTTCAAACACAAGAGGTGCATATTTGGGAGTGGGCTATTTCTTGTGAAGCAGTCTGATGGTGTGGCTGTCATGGGGAACAGGAAGGAAGGTGCTGGAACTGAAATTACCAAAGGCATCTGCATGACACTGGACCACCATGACTCACATGCCAGGCTTCAATCAGGTTCCCACTTGGGAAGGCTTTCCTCTACCTCTAGGATCACTGTAGTTGCTGGACTGCAATAGTGTCCACAACTGTCTACAATTCCTTTATCTACATTTGGTACTGCCCTACCACACTGATGCTACTAGCCTTGGCCATACTACTTGCTTTGATAAATGGTATAGTAGCAACTTGACAGAGAGGAGCTCTTGGACTCTGCGCTGTTGCCAAAAGAACAAGCTTTGGCTGGATTGCTAGAGGGGTGCAAGAAATATGAGGGACAGCTAGGTCACTTGAGCTGACCACCCACAGGTGACTGTTGACACAGGTGCCTATCAGGCCAGATAAGCCCAGCCTACTTAAAATCTCTCCTTCCCCACAGCCAACAGAAAGATCAATGAGATATAACAAATGTTTTTCACTTTATACCACTAAGTTTTAGAAAGGATTATTATACACAATTGCTAACTAGTATAGTCATTTACTTGGTTACATGCATTATAGAAATCTTATGTCCCCTCCTCTTTGTAAGACATCCATATTAGGAATAAGTGAAAAAATGTAAATTAAAAAGCAACCTCATCTTTTTTGCTTTTTAGCCTTTTGTGGAATGATGACATATGGTATTTTAAGAAATGAACCAAAATGTAGATAAATGATAAATAATCCTAACAAATTCATTGCTGCTTTGCCAACACCATTTCCACGTTTTGCCATATTTAGCCTCCACAAAATGTAGTTACACGAATAGTATTACTACTACCATGTTAGGGATGAGCACACAACACTCTGGCAAGATTTAGAGATTGTTTAAGGTAACAAAAGATAGAGAGCAATTAAGTAATAAAATATGGGGTTCTTAACTGTGGATCTCAAATGATTTTCACTAATACCTTGACACAAAACATGGAGAATATGACGAGGTCACTAAGATTACCAATGTTTGCCAATTCATGGGCTATAGGCAACATTTAACAAATTAAAAAAAAAAACAAGTTGTACACTGATGTAGCTAAAATAATTAAAAATATAATACCTTATCATATGATTCCTAGGTTACACTGACGTTTCAAAATTACATAAAAGTTTACATATGTACCATTGTAAAAAATAATTTTTTAGAGTAACGAATAATTTTCCAAGTAAGGATTTTTGTATTAATTCTCAATATTCAAACTTTTATGACTCAAGGGAATTTTGAAGATAAAGGTACCAAAAGACATGATATCTTTATAAAATTAGTCAAGAGAGGCGTCATGGAAATTTTGTAACTAGTTCTCTCAACATCTGAGTATCAGAATAACTGTCACACTCATATTTACTCTCAACTTAATTCTACATCTGCTTTTCATTTAAGTCTCCTCCTGAGCATATTTTAAAATAAATAATAAAGTGTCCTGTAGGTTATTAGTTCATGAAAAAAAGTACATCAGCCCTGTAAGAATGAGCAACAAGTCAGAAGACTCTTGAAGACAAAAGAGAACATGATAGAAAAGGAAAGAAGTCATCTTAAGGATGGAGGAGTAAGGGGGAAGAGGTCAATTAATGGTTTGTATCAAAAGTTGAAATGATTTTTCTGTAAAGAGCTTGACAATTATTTTAAAGCTTTGCAATCTATAAGGTCTGTTGCATTTTCTTTTCTTCAGTATTTGTTTATACCACTTGAAAAATATAAAACCATCCTTCCCTCACAAAAACAAACAGATTTGGCATGTGGGCCATATCTCACCCCATCTAGTAACTGAGAGTATAATGTTAGTTTTAAGTATTTTCACAAATCTATACTACCACAACAATCCTATCAAGATTCCAGCATTATACAAGAAGAAGGAATAAAAGGAATACAAATAGGTAAAGAAACTGTCAAAATATCCCTATTTGCAGATGACATGATCCTGTACCTTAAAGACCCAAAAAACTCTACTCAGAACCTTCTAGACATCATCAATAGCTACAGCAAGATAGCAGGATATAAAATCAACATAGAAAAATCAGAAGCATTTCTATATACTAATAATGAACAAACTGAGAAAGAATATATGAAAACAATTTCATTTACAATAGACTAAAAAAAATCAAATACCTAGGTGTAAACCTAACAAAAGATGTGAATGACCTCTACAAGGAAAACTATAAACTTCTGAAGAAAGAGACTGAGGAAGACTATAGAAAGTGGAGAGATCTCCCATGCTCATGGATTGGTAGAATCAACATAGTGAAAATGTCTATACTCCCAAAAGTAATCTACATGTTTAATGCAATTCCCATCAAAATTCCAATGACATTCATTAAAGAGATTGAAAAATCTACCATGAAATTTATATGGAAACACAAGAGGCCACGAATAGCAAAGGCAATGCTCAGTCGAAAGAACAATGCTGGAGGTATCACAATACCTGACTTCAAACTATATTACAAGGAAATAACAATAAAAACAGCATGGTACTGGCACAAAAACAGACATGAAGACCAGTGTAACAGAATAGAGGACCCAGATATGAAGCCACACAACTATAACCAACTTGTCTTTGACATAGGCGCTAAAAATAAACGATGGAGAGATGCTTGGAAAACTGGTTAGCAGTCTGCAAAAAACTGAAACTAGATCCATGTATATCACCCTATACCAATATTAACTCAAAATGGATCAAGGATCTTAATATCAGACCACAAACTCTAAAGTTGATACAGGAAAGAGTAGGAAATGCTCTGGAGTTAGTAGGTATAGGTAAGAACTTTCTCAATGAAACCCCAGCAGCACAGCAACTAAGAGATAGCATAGATAAATGGGACTTCATGAGATAGCATAGATAAATGGGACTTCATAAAACTAAAAAGCTTCTGTGATCAAAAGAAATGGTCTCTAAACTGAAGAGAACACCCACAGAGTGGGAGAAAATATTTGCCAGCTGCACATCAGACAAAGGACTGATAACCAGAATATATAGGGAACTTAAAAAACTAAATTCTCCCAAAACTAATGAACCAATAAAGAAATTGGCAAGTGAATTAAACAGAAATTTCTCAAAAGAAAAAATTAAAATGGCCAGAAAACACATGAAAAAATGCTCACCATCTCTAGCAATAAAGGAAATGCAAATTAAAACCACACTAAGATTCCACCTCACCCCTGTTAGAATAGCCATCATTAGCAAACATTGATCTACTATTTGATCCAGCAATACTACTCCTGGGGATATACCCAAAAGAATGTGACACAGGTTACTCCAGAGGCACCTGCACACCCATGTTTATTGCGGCTCTATTCACAATAGCCAAGTTATGGAAACAGCCAAGATGCCCCACTACTGATGAATGGATCAAGAAAATGACGTATTTATACACAATGGAATTTTATGCAGCCATAAAGAAGAACGAAATGTTATCATTCGCTGGTAAATGGATGGAATTGAAGAACATCATCTGAGTGAGGTTAGCCTGGCCCAAAAGACCAAAAATCGCATGTTCTCCCTCATATGTGGGCATTAGATCAAGGGCAAACACAACAAGGGGATTGGACTTTGAGCACATGATAAAAGCTATAGCACACAAGGGAGGTGTGAGGATAGGTAAGACACCTAAAAAATTACCTAGCATTTGTTGCCCTCAACGCAGAGAAACTAAAGCAGATACCTTAAAAGCAACTGAGACCAATAGGAGAAGGGGACCAGGAACTAGAGAAAAGGTTAGATCAAAAAGAATTAACCTAGAAGGTAACACACATGCACAGGAAATTAATGAGAATCAACTCCCCGTATAGCTATCCTTATCTCAACTAGCAAAACTCCTTGTTCCTTCCTATTATTGCTTATAGTCTCTCTTCAACAAAATTAGAGATAAGGGCAAAATAGTTTCTGCCAGGTATTGAGGCGGTGTGGTGGGGGAGAGGGTGGGGGCGGAGTGGGTGGTAAGGGAGGGGGTGGAGGCAGGGGGGAGAAATGACCCAAGCATTGTATGCACATACGAATAATAAAACAATAAAAAAAAGATTCCAGCACTCTCTTCTCAGGATGCACTCAAGAGGACTTAAGTGAGGTAAGATGGTGATGGTGGGTATGGTATAATCTGCAACTCCACCAAAGAGTCATTTTTACCATCCCAAGGTGCTTAAAGCATCCTTATTTTGAAGATTTTTAAATACAAAGAAATGTCCTAAGTCTTTTTTCATGGTTTAATTTATGACGTGAATTCAATATTCAGGGCATTTGGAAAAGGTAATATGATGCATTTATTGTAGCAGGATGTGGGATAATAGCCTGTAATAAAAAATTAATAGGTCCATAGTCAATTCTGACAAGGTTTGGTTTTGTAACAAAATGACATGTGGACATAAGATCTCCACTTCTAAGGAGAACACATCCCAACACCTAATAATAAGAAAGCTAAAGATCTTCTAACCTCAGAAAACATGTTCTATTTCTCTATGAGACAAACATCTGTGTCCAGTTGACCTCTGCTTCTGGTATAGCATTGTATGTCAAGTGTTGTTTACCATACAAAGCATATACCAAAGTCTCATAGTTATTTTTATATGTACACCCAAACACAAAGAACAAAACACAGTATGCTGTTTACTAACTTGCTTAATGGTGACTTCCTCTCACTATAGTGGGTAAGTGTATCCAATAATTATTCCAATTCCACATATAATTTCATGCACATTGGACCTTAATTTTTACATGCAAACACAAGTTTAGAGTGTGCCCAGTCCAACTATTTTGATGTTAAATACTCAGTAAAAACAGGTGACAGGACTTGTCCAAGATCCTGCAGCTTGAAAGAGGTAAAGCAGAAGGTCTGCATGTCTTTTCCAACTCAAGTTTGCAATGGAATTCTCCTGATAAGCAAGTACACTTATTCAATCCAGTGCAGGCAAATTAAAACCTATATATTATTTTTGGCCTTACTGCATTAGACTCATCACAGAGTCAGGATGAAAAGGAAACAAAGGCATTAATTATCAAAGAGACAGATGCACACATAAAACTTGATGAAGATCATCTGTGGACCTCAGTAGCCTAAGATGTTTGATAAAGTTGTGCACACTTCCAGCCTCATTTCATGTATTTTCAAGTACAGTTCACACATCCACTAATTTCTGTAACACAAAGAGATGAGATACAGTATAAAATAGTCCTCTGAATTTGTTTACCAATCACATCACTACTGGCTTTACTAACAAGCTACCGATTTGATACTCTTCATATACAGTCATTTCAAAGGAGAGGAGAGTTAATTAAACCTAGGTTAACCTGTCAGTAATCTTCCTTCTGAAGTTTCTGAGTTTGAATGAAGAGCCTTCTATACCGCCTACTTCTGATTCTATAAGTAAAAGAGCACTCATAATTTGGCCACATGTATAAAAGAGTAAAAATAAGACAAGCCTGCAAAATTCTAAAAGATGGCACATCTTTAAAACCTTAGATAGTGCAATCTCATTCTGTTTCCAGAAAAGAAACCCATTGAATTCATCTCTAATTGTACACTAATTCAAAATATAAAAATGTCTTTACAAAAGCCTAATAAGAAACTATATAACAAGTTATTAGCATCTATGATTGCCACTTCAAAAAAATAGAAGTTTCTACCAAACTACCTTGTCTCTGATTATACCATCTTGAAGAAAAAGGGACTGAGACTCCAGAATGAGGCAACACAAATAAAACTCACATCAAGAACTCAAGATGTTCTAGCAGTTCAGCTAGTCTTGTCTCATCTATCACGGATGAAAAACCATGATGATGCCACAGACAGAATTTATGCTAGGGACTACAACTTAGGTATGCAAATAGTGTTCGGGAATTAGCCAGAATCCTATTTTGAATACATGATGGTATGTTAGAATCTACTGAGAAATGACTATAGCGTCCGCCACTCTACAAGAGGGAGACGCACACTATTTCATTTAATCTTGTGGGAACCCAACAAAATCAATATTGGTACTCTTTATTAAAATACTCTAACTGGAAGAAATCTAGTAACTTGGTAAGTCATTTATCTCTAGTCTGTAAAAAGCTGTGACTTGAGGGCTGAAGGCATGCCTCAAGGAGTGCCTGCCTAAGCAAGTGTGAGGTCCTGAGTTTAAACCCTAGTATTACGCAAAAAAATAAAAAATAAAATAAAACACAGCAACAATAAAAGGACCGTGACTTGAGCCCAGACCTATCCTGGATATTATACCATTCTATCATCTATTGCACCATGTTTTATTCAGGGCTAAAATCATCATTCTTACATGGATTGGGGTGGGGTGGGTGTGTCCCTTCAAACATATGAAGTAGATTGTGATAGTGAACAAAATCTTTGACTTATATGTCTGCAGCAGCCCTCACATTTCATTCAGAATATCTGAATGTACAAAATAGCATTTATCTCAAACTAATACACAGAGGCTTTTGTATAGTAGACTACTATTATTAAATATTAAATTAACAAAATATTTAATGGGGTTCAACATATAATACATCATAAACTCTAGGTCCAGAAGAAACTGATTTCATCATTCATCAATAAGAAAACTGAAGTTCAAGAAAATTGAGGCCATGTATAAGCTCAGACATGATGATGGATCTCCTGAATACCCTGTCCAGTGCTCTTTCTACTACATCCTTGGTTTGCTTCTCTCTTTCTATATATTTCAAGAAAATAATAAATGTACTCAATGAGTTAAGAGTACTGAACCAAAAAAGTTTCAGTGGCAACAAAAGCAGTAATTTACTCTATCTACTATGTCCTTTTCCAGAGAGCCCTTTCGGGAGCAAAAGCACTGAAGAATCTCATTAATTAGGGCTTCTAAAACAAACATCAGTGGCAATTAACAGACCATCAAATATAGCAGTAGTATAAAATGAGCATGAAACAGCAATCCCTTACTGCCACTACCAGGACATTCTGGCTTCTAGCATCTTGC